GTCATATATATATTAAGTATTTTGTTAAATGCTAGTGACAACTCATTCAATTTATAACGAACCCTGATCAAACTTACCCACAACTCTCCCCACTCAATAATAGCCCTCCTATTTTTTTAGCCATCCAATGACAAAGTGAGCAGATCTTACCAATCTGACAATAAGAGGACTATATGCCATCATATTCTCACAATACTAATAAACTTGCATATTTATTTGTAAATCTTATAAAATATTTATAAAATCTGTATATCTTTTTAACAAACTTTAAGTATATTTTTGTAGAATTATTTTAAAATTAATTAAAAAATACACTATATTCAGATTTAAGTACAGGTAACTCCCATATAACATGGCACTTTTATAGCATGGATTCACTCTAACATGGTTCGGGAATTGGGTAAAACCCTCATACAACATGAAATGTAATAAAGGGTGAGTTCTTTTATACCTCTGCGCAAGCATTCTAATTTTTTTCGTGGCTACTTTGAATGCTCTTTCAACAAATAATCCATTTAATGCAGTGTTTCTTAACCTCTAACAAATCATCGCCCCCTTCAATAAAACCGTTATGTAGTATCGCCCCTTCACTTCAAAATTCTGATGTCGAGGGCCAAGGCTAACGCAAATTTCGTACTGCATTGAATAGACTAGTGACTAGTATAATGTTATTTGTTTAATTATTGAACGATATAACGAATAAAATATCTAATTATTCTTAATATAATGTTTTACTATATCGCCCAGAAAATTGTTTTTTGCCCCCAAAATATAAATTGTTACTAATCGCCCCCTCAACATGGAAAAACACCCACATGGGGGCGATATCGCCCCCGTTGAGAAACATTGATTTAATGGTTAAATTTTACAATTGGAATCCTTCTTTTGCCTCTAAAAGCTCATATTTTAAAATTATAGATTCCTCCATCACGCTACTATCAATAGTGCGAGCGCCGTCATCTCTTTCTTTCACCGTCATTCCTAAATGCCTACAAACAGCAGAGCATTCCCATTGTAGTGAAGATGCAGAGCGACTGCTATTAACAAACGCACTCAAAAACTATTACCACTTGATGATGCTCATGCTGAGATCATCATATAGAATGAATAATTCTCTAGTAAAATATTTACTTAAATAATAAATAAGTATTTTACCCCCAAAAAAAAAAATAATAATAATAAATCCAATTTAAAGAAGGATTTAACAGCATGTTTTTTAATTTTTGGAACCTAACCCCCTTTTCGCACTAGTTCTTTGTTTCTTATAACACGGATTTGCATAACACGGCAATTTTTTGGAACATAACTCCCGTGTTATACGGGGGTTACCTGTATTACAACTAAAACTAAAAAGCAATATTAAAAGAAATAACACATTTTACCTTCTTGATCAATGCACTGTGCTACAAGACAAGCACAAGTGAGTATATCTTTTACATGGTTCAACCATCCTGAGGAATCTAATCTGGATAACCATTTATCAACTGAACTACTTGTATCATTACAAGCTGAAAATATTCAAAACTTATATAAATATAATAAAACAGATAATAATGATATTTTATATTATTTTGACAATATTTTAAAATTTCACACACACAAAAATGAATACTTAAATTGATGAGCAAATAAATAAATTACAAGAGGAAAAATAATAATAAATATAATAAATTTATATTTGTAAGACATAAAAATATAAACATTATTTTTGTTTCTTGTCTTAAGTTTTTGTTATTTTTATAAATATTTATTAAAACTGGAAAAATAATTTCATTACAAATTTCAGAATATTTGCATTTAATAACAGATACTAATTTTACATTTAAAATTACATAATATTTTTTAATAAGTTAATCAAACAAACTTAAACTTATTTAAAGTTTGTTAAATGATAAGCTGCTATTATATAGACAGTACAACTGTATAAAATATGATGTAAAGTAAAGAAGGAAATTTTAAATTCAAACAAATTTACCAATATCGAGTGGCACTGACAACGACGCCAAACAGTAGATATTGGAACTACCATGGAAAATGCCAATATTGAGCTCTTAAAGACTGCTACATAAGATGACAATACAGAGTCACAAATGTTTTCATATTTCATTCTCTACAATTATATTAACATTTACTGTAAATGTATGTATTTTAATATGATTTTGTGTGCTTTTAACACTTTTCTAGTGATATTACAATTTCAATATTTGTGACAGACCAATGTAATGTCGAATAAAATGACTTAAACTTGATTTTTATTTTTCCATGTAATTTTTTGACAAATGACGTATAATTGAAAAAGACGTAACTCGAAACGATGTAACTTGAGTTTTACCTGTAGTCAGGATCTCTGATCCCTAAGCTTTCCATATTTGGGTTGAATTTTAGTGGTGCCTTGCTCCTGTATATCATATTTCTCCTGATAATTGGGTCATGCTGGTCACCTAACTCTGTACTGGGAAAAATTCTGAATTGAAATCACATGGATTCTGATCTAAATTAGAAATTCCTATATAGTTAATTGGGGTCTCTGGCCCCTAAACTCTTCCTATCTGGTCTCAATTTTCATCTGTCCAGTTTTGTTGTAGAGATTAACAAAGGACAGATGGATGACAGTGGGAATATATAGGTCTGCGATTTAAAATCAAGGCCAAAGAAATGAAAAATGTAGAACTTACAATATATGATCATTACAAATATTTAGGAGTGGAATTAAGCCAAAATGGGTGAGATAACTAAGCCACAGAAAACTGAAAGAAACAAACAAAGGCTGTTTAAGAGGCTGAACAAAATCTATAAAATGCCAAAATCTCAAAAAGAAAATGGAATACATATAACACCATAGTGAGAAGTATATGCTATTATGTATTACATACCAAAATGTAGAAAAATATCAAAAACAGACCAAAGAAAGTTGTTTAAGTACAGTTGAAATAAATGCATTAACCAAATTATGCAAATTATTCATGCACAATGAAAAAATTAATGCAGTTGTGAGCATAAAAACTCAATTATTGAAGAAATAAAAAAAAGGCATTTAATATGGTATGGTTATATGAAGTTAAAAATGTCCAGGAATAGGCACAGAACAGAAATTATAAAAAATGAGAAAGATCAGAGAAGAAAATATATAAAAAATGTTAACATCAATGAAAACATATATGAATAGAACACAGTGGAAAAACTGTTTGCAGATTAGAAGACATTTGATACTAGAAACCAATTAGATACAATGTGTATGTTTGTTTGTGAAGAAAGAGATATCGTATTTACAAATAACAGAATTTTATAATATAACAATATTTTTTTTGTCTGCTTGGCTATTACTTCATTCTGCCTAGTTAGTAAAGCTTTCTAGAGAGAACACTGAGTTCACATATATTTAAAAAAAGGAAGCTTAAGTATAGAATGATTATATTCTTTTTCAAAAGTTTTTATACAAATATGATAAATTATGGCTTCCACTAGAATATCCAAAAACTTTTAATTCACAATCAAAATCTTTAAATAGAATTGCAAAATTACTGGAAATGAAATGGAAATTGAAACTAGAGTGTGAACAGATATTTATAGTAGTTTTTCTAAAATTTTATCATCATTTGCATCTTATAATGAAATGATGCCAATTAATAGTAATAGCAAAAATTTTTATTTTAATTCTTCTATTCTATTATTAAATATTATTTTTAATTACCTTCAATTAATTTTGAAAGTGAATTTAATAAGGTTGAATGTCTGTCTATTGGCTTATGTATTCTTCTCCACAATGGATAATGAATTTCAGGTTCAAATCCCCCTCCTAAATAAAAATGCACTATTAAATATTAAAAGAACAAGTAAAAACAATCAAGATCAAATTTGGTTCATGACATTAAGCTATACAGAATACAATTATAGATATTCATTTATATACAGTAATACCTCGACTTATGCTACCCCGACTATGCAATTTTCAAATCTTGTCGATTCGTCTTTTGTTTGAGCATCATGCAACTCTTGATTACTCACTCCCCCCACACTATTGTTCATCTTATATGTTCGGACGTGTCACACAGAATTGACACATAGCTACAATTTATTTTGTGTTATTTATTTCTGTGTTTGTTATATCTACGGAAACTTGAGAGACTGTATGTGGTGATTTCTTGTAACCGTAAATGAATCAAAAGATGAGATAAGATTAATGAGAACATTTATTAGCTTACATATATCCGACTTGGATTTTACACAAATTGCGAAATTATACTCCGACTTACGCGGTTATCACTTGGTCCCACCTATCACGTAAGTTCGGGGTATTACTGTATTATATATAATTTATGCAACGTTAAATTTTTTCAATATAACAAATTATCATATAAATTAGTACTATTTTATTTATTTATTATTATTACTATTTTTATGTAAATGCATTTATTTAAATTTGAAATATTTTAAAAATAAAAATGATTCTGTGTGAAATATAGCATAATTAAACATAAAAAAACTTAATTTAGGTTTATTTCATGGCATAAATTGATGAAATTCTCCATGTAATAATTGGTTAATTATGCAATTTAATGATTGAAAATTTTGAATTATAAATAAATATCTTGCCATCTGTAAACTTAATGATTTAATTAAAGTTTCAAGCTACTGAAAATCATGTCTAGTTCCAAACTCACAATTTTTTCAGTGTGTAAGCATTAGAGCCAATATGCTAAGTTAACCTCAATCAAATGTTACTGATTAAGAATTCAGATCATTATTATTAATTATAATAATATGCTAAAATTAAATGCACTTCTAAACGAAAATCTTTCTGGAGTCTTGAAAATGTTATTAATATCTTAAACTCAAAACAGTTAACAGAAAAAAGTCACACTTCACAACGAATGATGAATTCAAAAATAATTTGAATAATATAAGCTTATGCATGATACACATTAAATTTATAAAATGTTTTTAAATTATTAGTCATAAATAAAAATTAAGAAATATAAATACTATAATTAGTGCATAAATAGTATATAAATAATAATAATTTATTTATATATTCTGTAGTTTATTATTAGCTAAGCACTATTTATCATCTTTATTTCTTAATTTTTATTTACATGTTCAATCCTTTAAAAATATTTTATGAATGTATGAGTGTAATGCATCAGAATACAGTGTTTAACATATTTTTAAATTTGTCATTCAATTTATGAAATGTATAAAGCTAAAGATGATCATTAAATTGATTTACAATGTGTTTTTAAAACATGAATAAATAAAATCATTTATAAAATATCAATTTATGGTTAAATGGTTTATAAATGATAATTAAAAGAACCTTTAGTTCTTGCCAACTGGGCAAAATTTTGTGCTCTTGTATCAATAATATAACCTCTTTCTCCTGCCACTAAAGCAGCATTCATTAAGTTTTTATCTTCTTCACATCGCCTCATGTTAGTTCCCACCATAGGTTGACTACTCCTCAAAATTGAAGCCTATAACAACATGGAATATTGAGTTTGTAAAAACAATACCATTAATTATTAAAAATTGTAAATAATAATTAGATTTACCTTAGATCCTTTATGAAAATAACTTAAAACTGGAAATCTAGATAAATAACGAAAATTAGCAACACTTATTAATGTTTCATCATCAATTTTCTTTGGTACCACTAATATCTCTGGATAGGTTGGACATACCTAAAATACCAATAATTCTATATTGTGATAATAATAATATATTAAATGACATATTATTTTCTTATCATGCTAAACTCTAAAATGTATTGGATATATTTTATTTTTAGATATATCATTTTCTTCATGACTTGAACTATGAACTAATAACTAATAAAATTTCTTAATCTTCTTTTGAAATATCAAAAAATTGTATTCTCTGTTTAAAAATAAATAATTAATTAAATATTTAAACATTAATGTCTGAATTTTACTTTCAGAAAGAACTTTTTACCATACTGTTCACAATTTTTGTAAAGAAACATTACTGAATCTCTCTTCTAAATACTCATTGCATTTATAGAATTAAAACATTAATATTCTAAAGAAAAAAAAATAGAACAAAATGAAAACAGCAAATTTTTAACATGATAAATAATAGATTAGCAAGAATTTTAATTTAAAATATGCCCTTGTTTCTGAAATGTTTGTTATACTCTATATAATTTATTTATAACTTTGTTACAACTTCATTCTAAACATTTTAATATTTGATTTTACTTCATAATATTCATTTCACCATTTTAAGTTCATTTCATCCACTTAAACTTTTATACCTAAATAAAAGCTTTTATACATAAAATTATAAATTTACAATATATCAGATTTGTTAATGTTTCATGTATATATTTAAATGGTTTAAACTGAAATTTCTAAATTTGTAAATACTGTACATAAAACATTCATTTGTTTTTGCTATTGTTACACTGATTTTGTGCAGACTGTGTTTAACTGAATACTATATTTGTAATTTGACTACTGAGTCTTAGAATATTCAAAAACTTTTATGAAACAATAATGCCAAAATACTTGCTTTTATGCAAACATTACAAATATAACTGGTTTTAGCTAAATAAATTTTCTTCATCTGACAAACCAAAACATTTTTCATTTAACTTCTTGTCTGATACATTATCTCACATTTATTGAGAATTTACGTTAAATGAATTGTTATAAAGTTTTGTAAATTATTCTTGCTTTTCTATAAGTTTTCCATCAAATTTCTTATCTTCTCAATATTCCAATATAAATCTACAAATATATTATAACAACATATTTTTTCAAAGTGATAATCAAGCAGAAGAGAATTTTTTTAAATGTGTTAGCAAAACTGTCCTTTTTATAAATCATATGTTGTACATACGATCTTAAGAATAGTTTCTTGAGCAGTTAAGCATACCTGCAAAAACTGCATAATTCTACATATTTTTTATCAAATAATTTCATCAGTATCAGTATGTTTTTTTTATGATAAGTTTCAACTCTACTTCCTATATCTCTGTAAATTTATATTGTTGCAATATAGGTACAGTACATTTTCATTTATCTCATTCTATTTAATAATATCTGAAAATACTTTCATATGAATTATCTTGATTTAACAACTTTTCAAAATATCCTGTCCATTTTTAAAATTTCATCCAATTCAATCTCATCATACTTTAATACTTTCTATTCTAATTCACTTTATCATATCTGCTCCTTACTTGGTTTTGCTTATTGCAGATTTTTCTCTTTCAGAAAGATGTAATAATTGAATAAATTCATAGAGGAATTTGATTTTCATAACTTATAAATCTTCATATTTTCATAGTTTTCAAATACTTCCTATACAATTTTGTTTCATCACAGATAAATTCTTTTTAACAAACTTAATTATACAAATCTTTCTTCAATGGTGATAAAATTCTACATTATTTAATTAACAAATATTTAACTAATGTTTTTAGAAAAATTAGGCATACAAATATATATCATCAATTCATCATTTCATCTACTAGTAGAAATCTCTAATCATTGAATTATTCATATAATTGCATTGGACTGCTATAAAGATTAGAATAGTTAAATGCTGTCAATCTTCTTTCATCACCTAATTATTTTTTATTTTTTTTACCTAGTTGCTTTGCTACTCTTAAAATGATCCACAAACTCACTCCTCTTAAATCTATCTACTGTTTGTATTATTACTATTGCTCATAAATAAATTCATACAATAAATTCATTCTTAATATACTATGTTTTTTTATAACTTTTCGAGTTAAAAATAATCCACTTATTCCTTATAAGAATTTAGTGAATATTGTTTTCTTTATGTATTATTGTATTGTATTTTGTAAAGGTCATAAAGAATAAGCATGGTGAAGCAGTCCCAGTAAGATAATGAGATAAAAATTGGCACAAAAGTAGGTATCAGTAAATAATTAATTACTGTTCAATATTGTGCCAAATTTTTCATGCATTTAGGTTATGTACAAAAATTTCATTTTTAAATACAGAAAATCCTCTTTAATTCAAACTCAGATAATCTGAAATCCTGTTAGTTCGTAACATTACTATTTGTCCCAGCCGGGGGATAAAAAGAAGTAAATGTCTTTGTTTTTACAGTAATATATTTTCAGTTCCACATTACCCATGGACTACCCTTTCTTCTCTTATCTCATAAAATATATAGCTGGGTATTAAATTGCAAGACTGAGTTACAAATAGCAGATTGAGATATCTGTAGGGCTCTAGATACTACATTTGGGATACTTTAAAAATAACTTGGGCTACATTTCAAGGAATTCTGCTTTACTATTTATAAAACCTATCTAGCAACTTGTGAGGTTTTCACCAGACAAGTGCTGTTTACCTGCAATTTATTTATTATTATTAATTAACGAAAATAGTATTCTTCATACATAGCCATATTCCATTTGCTTAATAAATTACATCAGTTACATGATATTTGGCATATTGTACAGAAATATTATACGTAAATCTCAGATAATTTGAAGAAGTCTCAATTATTTTGTCCCCTGAATTTCAAACTAACAAAGATTTCCTGTATCACCTTTTGTATGTAACTGTTTCTTTGTGTAAAATTGTATGTAAAAACTGAGCCACACAACATCATGTATATTATATGTTTTTTCATTTAGAATTTTTTGCCAAAAAATTCAAATAAAAAAAAAACACAGTGGTACCTCAGGATACGAAATTAATCTGTTCCAAAATTCACGTCGTATCATGAAAATGTCATAAGGTGAATAATTTTTCCCCATACGATTACATGTAAAACCAAATACAGTAGAACTTCCATTATCCGGATTTTCGATTATCCGGATTGTTCAAAATAAACAAAAATTTTACGAATTTGCTGATTTGCACTTGGCGAATTACAACACTGTTTATGTACATGATGGAATGCATAACTTTTTTTTGTTTCAACAACGTCTCACCTAGCACAGTGGTCATAAACTCTTAAATATATTTTATCTATATATATAAATGGACATGTATGTCCCTATATTTCACTTTTTCGCCAAAACTACACATCGCACGTGAATGGTGTTTGTATGTGGTGGTAGCCCCAAGTCTCCATTCGTGCATAGGGGTGGTTGCGTCTCAATAGCTATAAGGGTGCGGGAGATATGAGGCTAAAAGTAGTTGAAAGTGGCTTTCTATTTCGAATGTTTTGTTCGAATT